AATTTTTGGCTAAAAACAAGATGGCAGTTGTTCCCCACCCACCGTACTCGCCAGACTTAGCTCCATGCGACTTCTTTCTCTTCCCCAAGATGAAAATCAAGTTGAAGGGGCGAAGATTTGATACAGTTGAGGAAATTCAAGCGGAAACGCAGACGGTACTAAACACCCTAACAAAGAAAGATTTCCAGGATGCATTTCAAAAGTGGAAGAAATGCTGGGATCAGTGTATGCGCTCCCAAGGGGAATACTTTGAAGGTGATGATGCAGAATAAGATCTAGGTAAGATGTAATAGTTTTTATTAATATATTTTGGGAACTTTTGGATTGCACCACGTAGTTTGGAGACAGCCGAACATACTGCCTCTACCTTCAAGGCCAAAGAGTAAGCGAAGCAAGAAACCAGCATGAAGAGTAGTTTCTTCTGGATAAAGCTGTGTAGAAACAGCACAATATTTTGAAGGAACATACTGCTTCCATCTTCAGAGTTAATGAGTAAGTCAGCTGACTCAGCTTGCTACTTGCTTCCACTGGCTTCTTGCTTGGCTTACACTTTGGCCTTAAACATGGAGGTGGTATGTTCCCCCAAAGTGTCAGGCTCTATAGAAATTACACAGTGTCACAACCCAGATGACTGTATTTTTCATAGTCACTGCCATGTGAACCTCAAATTCAACAAACATGTTCAAAGAATAAGAGATTTAATTTTTATCGTGTAAAACATCAAAAATATTATGCTCCAACTGTTGTATTCTAAAGAATTGTGATGAGATATTCATATAAACTGAAGCAACAGTCTGTTGTCCTGGACTGTTGGAACACTTCAGAATCAGTAATGAGAAAAAGCATGTATAATAGGATGATGAATAACATACAAAGTTAAAACAAGCAATATATTCATTTATAGCTACTGGCTATGCAGAATAATGCACTGTGCACCATTGCACTGTACACTGCCAGGTAAGTAAAAGGTACACAGAATTACTGGGGTTTTGGACCTTTTCCATCGCCCGGAATTCTAGGTAACAGAGGACATGATGTCTCGGAAACTGGATCTGTTCCCGTCTTCAGGTGAGAAATCAATCCAGTGATTGAGATTAGCTCTTTCTAAGGGCCCAACTGACTGGGTGTCTTCCTTTCTCACCTGAAGATGGAAACAGATCCAGTTTCCGAAATGTCGTGTCCTCTATTACCTAGAATTCCGGACGATGGAAAAAGTCCAAAACCCCAGTAATTCTGTGTCATCCACCATCGTCGGAACCCTTTAGAAGCAAAAGGTAATCTAGTATTAACTGATAACTGTATACTAATATATCTAAGAAGAAGTCAAACAAACACATTTTGTGAAGCATAGGATATGAAAATCTAAAGTGATGCAGCTGATAGAGAGGGTCATTCTGGTGTGTAATAGTAAACATTCTTGCACTTCATCCACTGCCGATAATGGACTAAGATCTGTAAAGGCTCCCACACACAGACGCAATACTCAGCTCGGTACGGTACGGGACAATATCTAATTACACCGCGGTAAATGGAGGTCCGCACACTGGCGTGGTACTCTGAGGAATGCAATATTATCGCAGTTGGTATATCGCCTCAGTATTCCGTTCTACCGAGCGCACTTGGTAGACCGCGCGGTATCGCAGCGGTAAATAGTCATGGATCCATCTTTGGAGGAAGAAGTTTTGCTTTTAGCTGTCGCTCTTGATGAAGACAAAGGTGAATCCTGGTAAGTATTTTACTGAACACTAAATCTGCGTAGTTGTTTTCCTCCACATATTCAGTATGTCACATATATGTACAAATATTTAGAATTCCATAACGAGTCTCTAATTAAGTACGTATAAGTGGTTGCTATGTATGTTCCTATTTTAGGCCAAAGAGACGAATCACTTGGGTTCATGATATAAACTTGTCAAGAGAGGAACAGGGGGTTTTATACATTGATACCCCAACTCCTGAAGGATGAAAAACGGTCCTACATATATTTCAGGATGAATATTGACAGGTTTGATGAAATCCTGAGAGCCATCAGGCAAGATATCACTAAACAATATACCAATTGGCGGAGGCCTATTCTTGCCATGAAGTGGAGGATTTTTTGAGACCCATAGAACTGAAAGAAGGAAATATAAAACACATTGTATCAGCAGCATGTTTACTTCATAATTTTCTATGTCTCAAAAACTGTGATGAAAAGTACAGGGAAGAACTGCTATGAGTGGAGCCACTGGAAGGAAAAATGTTCCCTATCCAACCTTTACGTCTCCCAAGGGCAGCAAACATTAGCTACACCATTAGAGAGCGGTGTGTTGCGTTCTTCAATTAGATGACTGCCCCTGGAATTCCTGTTAGTGAACGGAACTGGTGCTTAGCCTACATTAAGAATGTCCACAGTTACTGTATACTTAACCCTATATAAATATTGTGATGTGCTGAGCTATGGAGGATGCCCCCCCCCCCGCCAGCCGTGACGCGCCGAGCGGAGCCGAAGTTAGCCGAGTCCCAGCATCCTGGTAGCTATGCAACGCGAGTCAACAGCGGTGATGTCACCACGGGATACTGCGGTTGCTAGGCAGCAGTAAATAACACCGGACAGCGTTCCTAGAAACATGGCGCCAGGCAACAAGGGTGCCTATTACGTGGCTGTTTTCTGCGTTGTCCGCACGAGGCTAGATACGGAGCAGTGAAGACTATTCACAGTGAGTGTGTTATCAACAGTTCTCAAGGCAGCTACCTACGAGTTAATTCCGAGTTAGCCAGAAACCAGTCAGTTGCATTCTGGCATTTGGAGTGTAGTATCTGTGATACTGCAGATAGCAGTAATTGTGAATCTGTAATTTGGGTGATTGTAAGTGCGAATGTGAAATAAAATTCGCTATATCAAATACGGCGTGAAGTTATTTGTCGCGTTATACACCCAATACGTGACAATATATACAAATATTTCTACTTGCTGTCTCTGTTCATTGTAACAGCCAATTCCTTCCACTTTCTATCCTTAGCACGTGAATCCTTGTACATCGGATGACGAGTGTCGTACAGTAAAGCATTTTCTTTGACGAACTCTTATTATTTGTTCAATTTGGCTACCCATGTCGTTTCACGTACATATAGATAGTGACTGAGCGTGAGTCATGGCCAGCTGGTCATCGGGTGTCAAAGATTCCCGAGTTCCTGAGTGTTGCGTCTGTGTGTGCGGCCCAGTCGGTAAACAGCCATTTTCGTCCCGAGTGCTATATCGTCCCAAATCGTATCGCGTCTGTGTGTGGGAGCCTTAAACAAATCTGAACACCATGCTTTGTGCAGGAGCAAATAAGAGACAAACTTAAACTTCAAGACCAACATAAGATTCCTCTTCAAAAGGAAGGGGATTGACATGCCTGCTACATGGAGAAGACAGAAGGTCATAGCCGATTCTCAAGTAACAAGGACACAAAGTCAAAAGGGGCAGACATGTGCCAGAAGTATCCATATGTACATCACACTGAAGAGAAGGTAAACTTAGTGTCTCCATTCACATAGCATTGGGGGGGGGGGATTTTAATCCACCATCTGCCAGAAGCAGTACACTTATGAATCATGCAAGTAGGTTGTAAGTTGGGTGTATTATACACATCCACATCTTGTAAAAATAAGCTGGAGATGAATTCATATTATACACTAAAATAAGTCTGTGAGGGTGGAAAATTACAATATTTTCAGCCAGACTGGCCTAAACAACAGAATTTATTGATCAGCTGAGCAACGGTTATCTCTTGAAGAAGGAGTTTGTTAGATTGGACCAAACAATAAGACTTCAAGATGATGTCATGGTTACGTGACGGAGTGGTTTAACAAGAGGCAGTCCACTGCTAGGTAATGGCCCAACAAGTGGTTGTCTCTTCATACATCAACATCCCACAGGCTAAATAACATGTAATGACACAATCAATACACACCACAATAGAGAAACCACTGGATGCAGTGTTTTCTACAAGGTCTGTGCTGAGGTTATATAATGAGAACCTTCTTGGTCAGCTTTTAGCTCTTCTCGATTGGCCTTTATGGCATTAATATTGGCCTGTAGTTCTCATATGTTGGCTAGCAGATCTTCCTTGCCTGTTATAGAGAGTTATCACATGGGTTCCAACACAATCACCTCAACCAATCCCATTTCTGACACCAGCTGTCACGTGATAGTGACCAGACACAGGGTTTGAGTTGATACCTGGATTTACTGCACGCTTATAACTTGTAACTACATACAATTATAACAGTGTCATGGATCTACACACTCTAAAGATCACGTTAACTGCAGCACAAATAAAGCCTTTTATGTCTTTACTAGCTGTTGCTTGGTAATGGCTTTTGACAATGGAGATTCTTCAGTTTCCATGCTCATGTCCTTATCAGCTGGTGACTATCTCACATGTGACACAAATGAAACTCACTGGCTTGGTCCTCGTAATATTATCCTGTGATGGACAGCATAGAAAATGGCGCAGACCACATAGAAAACACTGAGTCACATTGTTGTTTATTGGTCACTACACAGCAATGGCCCACTTCTCACTCTGCTATTCTGGCTTTCACCCATTACATCACAATATTGACAAATGATAAAAACCTGAAGCTTATACCATCTTTCGGATCAAATTGTGATGAAGTACAACCAAATCCATTCAGAAACTTATGTATACAGTGAAAATATTCAACCTGATTGGGTCTCCATACTACATAAATACTCAAATGTGAAAGGGTTATGGAAAGAACTGTTGTACCTTTTTCACCGGCAAAAATGTTTTTTACTACTATCACTATTATTTATATGATAAGCTTTATGAGGATGGAATGACAAGTCTTTTGCATTAACTGCCTCACAACATTGATGCATACAACCAGAAACTAAAGATTTCACTGCTGATATATCAACTATTAGTCCTTGAAATGACAAAACAAATAAACATATCAATATGAATAATCAAATAAAATTTACCAAAGCTGAAACACACCCAGCTTACCTATGTTTTCTTTTGACCACTGGTACAAGTCACATTCCTTGATGGTTTTTGTAACTGGAACAAGCAGGCCATGTTTAGGTTCACATGTGAAGAGCTGCCTGCTTCCCCAAGTACCATCTATGCCTCCATATGGTAAAGGATTATCCTGAAAAGATAGCCAAAAATTAATTCCTTTTAGTATTTACTGATATTTGGATGACCAATGTAATGCAGAAGAACCAAAAGTAATAGAAAAAACTAACCATGGTACTAAAAGGTAAAGGTAAGGCTGTCATTCATTCATTCATCTGCAATCTGTCAAGATGACAGGTGCACAGTCTATTCCAAAACAGTTCCTCCACTTGATGCGATCTAGAGCTTTCTCCTTCAAATGAAAATATCCTCTTCTGTCCCCAAGGTCATCCAGCATCTTCCTACGTCTTCTTCTTCCTCGTCTTCTGGTCACTTCTATCCGCCCCTATATCTTTCCTTCAATAACTTCTCTTAGAAGGCAGTTACCGCGTAAGATAATACCAATCCAATTAGCCTTCCGTTTTCTTATTTCGTGTAGGATATTCCTCTGCTCACCGACTCTAAATAACACTTCTTCATTTCTCACATAATCGGTCCAACTGATCTTCTCCAGCCTTCTCCAACTCCACATTACGAAGCTTTCCATGTGTTTCTGATCTACTGCCCTAAGTGTCCAAGTTTCAGCCCCATACAAAGCAATGCTCCAAATGTAGCATTTCACTAGTTTCTTTCTCANATAGTTTCTTCCTTAGCCATTTACACAAGGTCATCTGCATTCATTTCCATGCCATAACACCTTCCAATTTTGATTAGTCTATCAATCATACTCTGTAGCATAGTTTCTTCCTTAGCCATTTACACAAGGTCATCTGCATTCATTTCCATGCCATAACACCTTCCAATTTTGATTAGTCTATCAATCATACTCTGTAGCACAGTTTCTTCCTTAGCCATTTACACAAGGTCATCTGCATATTTCACACTTTGAATAATTTGCCCTCCTAATTTGAAGTCTCCAAGCCCATCCAAAGCTTCTTTGGTAAGGTTGTCCCTGTGCTTAATTAATTAATTAAGGAATTAGGCACTATGCCATGAAAATGTGTGGGGGAGTGAAGGTATGGCTCCATGTTTGCATGTTATCACTAGACAACATACATGCAGGGGGCACAACCATGGATGCTGCAAAAGGAAAATAAAGCGGAACTGAATGAGAGAGAGTGTGTGCAGTGAGATTGTTTCAAAAAGTAAACAACTGCGTGAAGATGGCCAAGTGAGACTGAAACATGTAGCAGTTGATGTGGCTTTAATGTTATTACAAATTAAAGAGAGACCGTGAACATTTTTAAGTTTCATTAAAGACAGAGGTGAATGTAAAGTAAAGCTATCCTTGTGAAGGCCCATAGGGTTGTGAGACGTTGAGGGTCCCACATTATCTAGACAATCGGCTCAAAGATGGCGGTAAGGTTGTCAGCCTTACGCGCCGGCCACATTTTACTCCCCAGGAAAATTATTTAATTAATTCCTGGTACTCATTTCTGTTAGAGGCTGAGTAAACCCCAGGGTCTAGTGCGGCTGGAAGAATTAGGTCAACTGAAAAAGATCCAATGAACTCAGCAGGATGTGAACCCACAACCTTCCAGCTTGTAGCATAGCACCTCAACCACTACGCTACTGCGTGCTCCCCAAAGGTGAATGAGCGAGTAATATATTTTCGATATACTGCCAAAGTTGTCACTGAAAGTCAACAGGAAAACTAACAGATATGAATTTTAGCAATTCTGTTTTTTATAACTTTTTTCTCATGCCTTTCAGAATATACTTCAGTTCTTCACATTTAAGAACCATATTACCATTAATACAAACGAAACAATTTTCTTCCTTATTATGGAACACAAAACAAAAATCTTGGAATATTACTCATACATGCTTTGGGTCTAATACAAAGGTTAAACATTTCCTTATTCTTTATGTAACTGGTATGTAAAAATCATTTTTGTTTCTTTCCATTTGTATTCATTACTCATGGTTTAGAAGACAAATTTCCTCCACACAAATATTTGTGTACCTTGTAGCAAAGACTCAAAGTTCTGAACAGGATCTTGGAAGTTATAATTTATGTTATTTACCATTCCAACTTTGGTTTAGCAATTGATATGACAAAGTATGAAGTCTGACACACCCACTTCTAGGCATCCTGTATGAGACACTTCAGTAGCAATTACCTCTCTGTAAAGTGGATGCTAGACTATGAATTTCTGTTCTTTATAATTTATATTCAATATAATCATGACAGGGGGAACCAGGATAGTGTAGTCAGTATAGCAACTGGCTATGGGCTGGGCGACTGAGAGGTCAGAGTTCAAGTTACAGAGGAGTCAAGAACTTTCTCTTCTACATGTAGTCCAGACCAGCCTTGGGGCCCACCCTATCCAATGGGTATCAGGTGCTCTTTCCCTGACAGTAAAGTGGCTGGGGCGTGAAGCTTACCAATCACCTCCAACTAGCGGTGAGGTCAACAAAATGTGGATCTATACATGCATACTTTCCCCCCACACCTTCATGGTGTAGTCCTTAAGTAATAAGCACAGGAACAAATTTATAAGTATGAGGAAGCTCAGAAAGCTCATATGGTATGGAAATTTGGCTATAGGCCTAATGAGAGGGGAATCACAGTTTGGTTTCTGGCATGTGCTGTATATTTTTCTCTTTTCTGCAATGTCCAGACCATTTCTGGGGTCTACCCAGCCTATCACGTGTACCACATGAGCTTTCATGATGGGTATCTAACAATATGTGCACCTGCTCACTTGCTCACTCACTCACTCTCACTAATGCACATGCAAGAGTGTACACACATCCATGTGCATGTGGACACATATATGCATTCTTGGCATTTTGTAACCTATGCACCACAGAAATATTAAGTTTTGTTTTGGATTACAAGTTAAGCAAGGATGGAAAGGTTTGGGTGGTACTGACATATGTTAGGTCATGAATGTCTGATTCATCAGATTATCCAGAATCACCAAGAATGGGCTCAAATCACAGTGCTGTTACAAGAATTTTCAATTGATTCCAAAAAATGGAATGTGTTTTCAGTTGCACAGTGACACCTGTATACTATATTTCTCTGACTATACAGCTGTCAGGGCTGTTCCACAGCGCAGGTGGTTACTGCTGGTGTCTCATTCCAGAGGCCTGAACTGAATCACAGGGCAGTCCATTTGGGACTTGTAGCAGTCACAGTGGCACTGAGGACTTATTTTCTTCAAATACTTTGACTTCCCTCTATCAGTTATAATTCCCCTTATGCATCTGGGGGCTGGTATAATGGGCATGCTTAGAGACCAGTTACCAAGGGACTCAGTCTCACTCTGCCACAAGAAAAAATGCCAATTTTCAAAATAATAACAACGTAAAGTATATATATTACACCCACCAGACCAAGCATTGTGATCAAGTGGTTAGCACTTGTTCTATATACACAGAAGATTCCAGGTTCAAATCATAACTTAGAAACTGCCCATCCTGACTGAGATTTCTGACAACTTTCTTTAGTCTCTCCATGCAAATTCCATGATAGTCCTCACATTAAGCTACAGCCACTTTCTTCCAAAACCTTTCCAATCCAATTTTCACATAACATCCTATCATTCAACACTATAAAGTCTGCACTACTCAAAGCATTGTTAGATAAAGCAAAAATAATAAATAAACCTACCAACTCCACACCAACAGTCCAGTCAGAACCCATCTCTGGCAATTTGCCTATCCAGCGAACAATGCCACATTGTGGCAAACCACTTCCACTACCAAGCCACACAATTCTTTCCCCAACCAAAATGGGAGGACGAAGCAACCAGGTATCCATTCTCAGTGGTTTTACCATACCCAGAACCTGTAACATATAGAGAACTGGTATAAAACTAATAAAAAAGTGACATTTAGACATTTGTCTTCTTCTTTTTTTTTTTTTTAATAGAGTGCCCATTCCACAGTGTATCAGCAGTGCATGTAATATACCAAGGAGTGTGACTGGCATTCTTAATCATCTAGTGATGTTTATGGGGTCATGTCATGTCATTTATTTACAGTTCCAAAAAAATCCATAGAGGCATCTGCCTCAGATACAGAACAAGTCAATAATACAATATAACATATAAATATACATACATAATCAGACATTCATCATCGTCAAAATACAACAAAACTACTGTACCATAATACATTCATAAATCAAAATAACATTTAAAATTACATACATGATTAAAAGACCGCCAAGCCTCTTAATATAGTAATATAAAATCTATTTTCTTAATATATGATACACCTATATTACAGCAGTGATAGCACCTTTTTCCTGAGTATTTTATTCCATATTCCGTTGCATCCTAGCAATAGGCAACAGTGTTTACTATATATACATGAGGTATCAATCTTTATTCCAGCAGTAGTATTCTTCAACAGTATAAAAAGAACTGGTGATAAGAAACTTCTTTAACGCCACTTTAAATCCAGGAATGTCATAAGATAATTGTTTAAGCTCTGGAGGGAGGTGGTTATAAAGTTTGATACCAGAATACCATCCACCTTTCTGAAATATCGTTAAGTTTACCACTGGAAGATGCAAGTCATGATTAAATCTGGTATTACGTGTGTGGACATCAGAGTTTGTTATATAGCAATCTCTATTCTTGACAACCAGCATAAGTAAAGAAAATATATATTGAGACTGAAGTGGCAGAATATGTAACTCCTTAAATAAATTACGGCACGAATCTATATTACGCGAATTGGTAATAATTCTTATTATTCTTTTCTGTATTTGAAATATGATTTTTGCATGAGCCGAACTCCCCCAAAATATTATGCCGTAAGATATTATTGAATGAACTAGGGAGAAATAAACAGTTTTTAGGCACTCCAAGGATAAAAGAGGTTTTAATACTCTAATTATATAGGATGCCTTATTTAATTTGGGTATCATTTGGTAGAGGCTTCCTCCTTGTTATTTTAACGTTTTCCTTTCCTTACTGTTTTGAATACTCTCATGCCACAGATGTATGTTTTTTTTTAAGAATTAGCCATACTAGACAGAGCTGCATTTCATGTGTCGGAATTAGGCAACGTATAGATTTGAATACATTTTAATTTCACAACACCTGAGGCCTTGCCAATTAAATTTACGTGACTCGCTATGATCTTAACCTGCGTAAATTCTGTACCCATTTATGTCACGTTAAAAAATATAAGTAAAAAGGTATCGCATGTCGCACTTAAAACTTTGGTATAATTTATATTTTCATTTACCACATTTTCTGAAACTCGTCCACTTTCCAAACATTACAATTCATAAGCCTCCTCCTGCTGCTGGCACACTGCCCACACAGACAACACATCTCACGCCCAGTCCTACATACGTACTACGCTGGCTCTACTGTTATGGCTGTTATGCTATGTAATACCAGTCCCTGCTGTCCCTGATGCTGTTGCTAAATGCGTAATCGCTACCTAGCCTCCCCTTCCATACGTTATTCAAGGAAATCGATTAATTGGAAAAGGAAACATGTCCGTCTTTCCACCATTGTACATGTTCCCTTTTTATACTTTCTCATTCAAAGTCTAGTATTGTTACCAACAGCAACAACAGTATGACAAAATGCACCGAATTTATTCAGTAATTGTACCTAACACTAAATTACTAGGTGTTAACGTTATTATCACGTTTGTACCTTATAGATGTTTCAACACACATTTTGCTTTACATAAATAAATGATTCTCACAGTCTTTTACCGATTCTAATAACACGCAGACTGTGTGAAGGTTTGTAGTTGGTGACACTGTCATTAGCTGGGTGTCTAAAAAAAAGTTGGATAGGAGGGAGCAGAGTTCTGTCATTGTCAAAATATAAAGTTTTGTTATAGTCTTGGGAAATTGCCATAAATACGCGAAATTATGTATAATATTATGCAATGTTGTGACTGTTGATTTACACTTGTGTCTTGTGATAATTTGATGCTGTTAAGCCGTGAAAAGTGATTCTCACGCGACCTTCAAGTCGAAAGGACTTGTTTAGGACGCTGTTTGTCTAACTGCAGTGTTTATAAACACCTATTCTTGAGCTTTGTTTCTCATTGTTGGGAAGAACTTAAGCATATCAGGCTTTGTTTGTAATGTGCCCAGTCCAAACAATTGAAGAGGAAGTGTATAAAGAAATATCGCTAATGAATCCTGCTTTCATCCCCGTACATTCAAGGCGAAAAGGATTTTTCCGACATCCAAATAGAATGTTCAGAAACTTTTCAGCCATAAACTGTCAAACAGGTTTACTCAGTATAAGTTATTAATTTTGATACAAGCATTTGCGACAATTTGACAGCTTTTAGCTTAACAAAAGCTTTAATTCTTACAAAGCTGATTGACCATTAATAGTGGTCCAGTGAAAGCTAAATAAGCATCGATTATATTAACTGCTGTATTAAAATTACAACATTTGAGGATGAAGCTTTTAGAAAGTACACGTTTTGAAGCTATTAATAGCGCCCTCTCTATAAAAACAGGCGACAGTAAAATATTTGGAAGGTAAGGTTTTAATTCATAACAGTAAAGTGAGAAGGACAATATGAATGTATTTTTTTCATGAATTTTTATTCCGAAATGTTTTAGAATTGAAAGCTACTCCTGCAAAATGGCTGGCAATGACAAACAGCTTTACAAGCGATTTAATTCAGAACAGGGAGTAACACCACATGATCTGCAAGCCCTGTCCCCACCACAAACTGCTTTGGGAGTTTCACCTGGAAGGTGTCAGTACAGGTATATACTTGCAGAAAAGTGGAATTTATGTGTCTAATATTGTGCAAGTTTTTCAGTTATTGTATTGTATTGACATTCAGTACAAAACACATGACTGAATGTGAGATTTGTTCTTGCATTGTTCATTATACCCATTTTTGTCAAAATGCTGCATAGTTTTTCTAGAGTGAAATGGATCCATTGAAAATAGTATGCTGTGAATGATTTGAGAAAGTTACTGTCACACTTACAAATGGGTTGAATTAAAGATCACATGAACGTAAAATAAATACAGTAAATGTACTGAGAAAGTGAATAAATCCTCTTAGAACCATATAGTATAGATTTCTGATTGCTTTATATTTGGAGAGTCCAGGTTCAAATCTTGGCCCAAAGACCAGATACCCTAACTTTTTAGTTCCTTCAGGGAAATGAAATAATATCTCAAATTATGTCACTGCTGCTTTCTTCCACAGCCTTTCCACTTGGGTGTTTACTGAGCACCCTACCATTCAGTGCTCTGTAGTGTGAGCTACTGACAGTATCATTAAATACACTAAGTAAAATAATTATAATTTAGTATGTAAATTATATACAGGATGTCCCAGGAGGAAAGTTCAATATTTTGGGAGGTCTTAGAATTTGCCATTCTAAACAAAGAAGTGTGCATGTAAATGTGTCCTATTCCAAAGAGTTTCCGAGTTAGAGCTATTTCACTGTACAGTAATAGTAGCAACACACAAGTTGCAGAGTGCATTGATGTTAATGGGGAAATTTTTGAAAATGTATCATACTAGGTAAACTGTACCAACATTGTCACTTGAACAATAAATACTGATATTAGAAACACTATGTAATATCTCTTTCATATCAACAATTTTGGAACTGTACAGTGAAATAGCTATACCTTGGAAACCTTTCGGAATAGGACGCATACATATACACTTTTTTTGCATGACTGATACTGTGACCTCCCAGAATACTGACCTTTCTTTCTTGGACACACTATGTACAGTATATACAGAGGTCATCCAAATGTAAAGACCATTTGGTAATTAAAAAAATAAATTAATAAAATTAAAACAAAATATTTCACATCATTTAATCATTTTTCTACATAATCCCCAAGAAGATTCAGGCACTTGTCATATTCTATAAATATGTCAAGTTTCTGTATGCCTGCATTGTAGAAATCTGCCACCAGTCCATTTAAGCAGTCTTAAACAGTCTTCTTCACTTCTTCATTGCTACCCATGCATGTGCCTCCCAAAAAGTGCTTCAAGTGTGTAGAGAAGTGAAAATCACTTGGAGCAAGGTCATTTGCCTCACAAATCCCTGACCCAGTTAACTCAGCAGGAAAAGATTTTGATTACTGCATACAGAGCAAATAAAAAGTTATGTTTACTGCCGTATAAAATTAGACAGATCAAGTAATTGAGAAAGGTAATTTTGAGAGAACACAGTTATTTTGTCTCTGGACATTATCCATTCTTCTGTTTTTATTTAAAACACAATATTTTGGAGACTGGATTCCATCTTCAGGGGGAACCTACTCATTTGGGCCCAATTGATAGATCTAGTCCCTGTCTCTGGACTTAGGGACTAGGTTCCACCTGAAGAAAGACAGCCCATTCCCTGAAATGTGTGTTTTAAATAAAAACAAGACAATGGGTAATGTCCAGAAATATGATAATTGTATTAATATACCACAAAACTTGCATTTTTTACTGATGGGGTTCGAGTCCACCAGAGTGGGTGTATCGATGCTCAGAACAATAGCTATTGGAGCAGTATTGGGTTTAGAAGTATTCTTTCCCAAACATAAGATGGTGTGCATTGTGCAGTTACTGCTGCAATGGTAGTAGAGCCCATATTATTTGAAAAACTCTATTAATTCGGAATGGTATGCCATTGATATTGCTTGACCCTTTTTTGAGAGCTTTATGGAAGAACTTACAGACACATTTAAAGACCATGTTATGTTCGTAAGTTGGGGTTTACCTGTATTGCATGAATTTATTGCATTTCATATTACTTTACATAAACAGCAGATGCAATGTGTAAATTATTAATAACTAAATAAAAATGTACAAGGTGTGTCCCAAAAGTCATGAAATATATATATATATATATATATATGTAAATTTTAAATTTATTGATGATATTGGTACAAAGTGTTAATATTCTTCA